TGATTCTTTGAAACAGAATCAACCTAATTTTAACAGTTAGGAGGTAATGTATATATAAGGTGTTAAAAGAATACTTGTTGCGCACAAGACCTGTGCGGTCAAATGTAGATGAACATGATCAAAGATTGTTGATAAGTTATGTAAAACCTTATAAACACGTAAGTAGAGACACGATTTCTAGGCGGTTGAAAACAGTCATGTTACGTTCTGGAATCGATATAAAGAAATATGGTTCTCATAGTATTAGATCAGCTGCCAGTACCAATTAGTGACATACTAGCCAAAACAGGGTGGTCGAATGTCAAGACATTTGCCAAGTTTTTATAATGACCGTCCTGTTGAAGGCAATTCTGACAGATTTCAAGAGGGTGTACTCTCCTGAACTTGTGAGTAAAATTTTTTCACATTATTGCTTTAAGATCTCATTTAACCGAACGAAATTCTTTCACGAAAAAGAATTTAAAAAATTAAACGAGACTTACCTTGGTTAAGTCGATGTTTGATTTGAATTCTTTGAAGTAAAGAATTGAGTGAGCCTTAAATGCCTCCCACCCACCCTAAAATATGAGGTACAGTAATATTGCTGTATTAAAAATAATTTCAAATGTTTGAAGTCTTTTATGGAGTTCATAATGAGAAAAAAATCATTTAAAAACTGCTTCCGCGCATGCGCAACACATCTCACTTAAGCCTCACTCAATTCTTTACTTCAAAGAATTCAAATCAAACATTGACTTAACCAAGGTAATAATAGTCTCGTTTAATTTTTTTAATTTTTCCATATTCAATTTATTTTGCATAAATAACAAGCTAAATCAAGGTGCTTCTCTATACATTGTTAAGGTTTCTTAATTTAACGAATAAAATGTTATCATTTAATAAAATCTTCGTATAAAGACAAATACAATACACACAAAGTTTTATCCATTAAGACAAAAAAAACAATATTTAGTTAATGAGAGGTTGTGATAGCTTTGTAAAGTCATGTTTCAATATCGTTTCAACATTTTTTTTATCAAGAAGCCCATTGTCAACATGTATTGTCTTGAATTCATACATCTGATTTGTTTTTGGCGTAGATTAGTTGGCAAAATTATTAAAAATGTTCAAATTGTTTTGCCTTTAAATTTCTATATAAAGTGTATTGAAATACTGAAAATAAGTATTTAAACAGTCAGTGTATTTGACATTGGGTTATGATTTTTCATATTATTTCAATATTTAATACTAAAGTTATGGATCAGGAGCACTCGACTTTTTATCATATATCTTTAAAAGGCAATTTTGATTTGAAGGACAAGGTTTTATCATGAATAGAGCCATTACATGATATGAACAAATTCAGTTAAGAATGACAGGGATTTAAAAGTATTTACCAACCTTTTATACAAATATTTCATTTTGAATCTTTTAAATCAGTGGTTCAAAATATTATTATTAGAAAACAGATTCTATAGTCACAAGCATAAAAACTCAAGATGGCTTTCTATCCATATGGAGAGATTAAGTTAATGGATAATTATGAATTAGCAAAATCATATTCGTGGGATTTACGCTCTTCACTGAAACTTGTAGAAATAGAAATGCATATGAAGCTAAAGGAATTTAATGACAGTATACTTAGTGTTATAAATGACCACAGTTCGGATATTGAAAATTACGAGAAATTTCATAGTGAGTTGTTTGGTAGACATAAGGAAGTGAATGAGCATGAAATTGAGACAATGGAACGAGAACTTGGTGATATACCAGAAGAAGATGATAAAGAAGCTGGTATAGAAGTGCTAGATCAAATGAAGGATAAGGAAGTAGACTATCTAGATATACTAATGCCTAATCTTAATTTACCTAAATTAGATCCAGATGGCGGACATAAAAAAGTGCAGTTTTCCTTTAAAAAGACTGTAAGTTCAAATTTTGTAGGAATATTTTATCCCAAGGTTCATTTTAAGTTAAAAAAATATTTTAACAGCACTTTTCTTTTTGAAAACATGGAAAAATTCATGTCATCACTTGAACAAAAGCGTATATACAAAGCATAGATCTGTTGTTTTTCATGTCCATTTTTCCCTCAAAAAAAGAAAGGCAATTTTAAAAGAACTGCCTGCCTAAATGAAAGATACAACATACAGTCATATAAACATTTTTTTTAACAAGTTGTATACATCGAGGTTGGAGGCAAGGTTGACTGAGATTCCAGGTTTTAGCTTTCAAGACTTTCTGAAAGAATAGGGAGAGGTATTGTACTCGCCCCAGGATCATTGTCGCTGTCACACTGGGAAAAATTTTGTGGCAAGTTGGTATCTCCAAAACTACTAAAGTGAATGGGTTGAAACACTACACACACTTATTTGGAGCATGATAGGAGGTCATTATTCAATGCCCATTACATGGATATTGACAGAATTATGTCTCCCAAAATTTTTGGGAGACATATTGTTTTTGCCTTTGCTGTCTGTCCCACTACCGAATAGGGTTAGACGGCCATCTAACTGTAAACAGAACAAAAGAGAACAATAGAGTTCATTCCGTAACAATAGAGTAAAGGGGCCATTGGCCTTATGTTAAACAATAGAAAATAACAATAGAAATGGCCCCTTATTCCAATTCGGCCCGTCCATCCATCTATCCGTCCGTCGGTCCAACTGCATTAAGCTTGTCCGGCCTTCACAGGTCAAACTACTGGTGGGATTTCAACCAAACTTTACAGGAGTGATCAGTACCATCCCCAGTTGTGCAGATCATCAGCACCAAATGGCCGCCAGAGCTTAAAATAGTAAAATCCTGTTCGGCCTTTACAGGTCACACTAATTGTGGGATTTCAACCAAACTTTACAGGAGTGATCAGTACCATTCTTAGTTGTTGTGCACATAGCCAGAGCTTAAAATAGAAAAATCTTGTCCGGCCTTCACAGGTCAAACTACTGTTGGGATTTCAACCAAACTTAATAGGGGTGATCAGTACCATCCGTAGTTGTGCACATCACCGGCATGTTCCGCCTGGCTGCACAAAATGGCCCCAGAGCTAAAAATAGAAAAATCTTGTCAAACCTTCACAGGTCAAACAACTGTTGGGATTTCAACCAAACTTTACAGGAGTGATCAGTACTATCCCTTGTTGTGCACATCACTGCACGTTCCACTTTGCTGCACAAAATAGCTGCTAGAGCTAAAAATAGAAAAATCTTGTCCGGCCTTCATAGGTTATTATGGTGGGATTTCAACCAACCTTTACAGGAGTGATCGGTAACATCCCAAATTGTGCACAATACCGGCACATTCCCCTTTGCTGCACAAAATGGCTGCCAGAGCTAAAAATAGAAAAATCTTGTCCGGCCTTCAGAGGTTAAACTACTGGTGGGATTTCAACCAAACCTTTTTAGGGGTGATCAGTATAATCCGTAGTTGTGCACATCGCCGGCATGTTCCGTTTCACTGCACAAAATGGCCGCCAGAGCTTAAAATAGAAAAATCTTGTCCAGCCTTCACAGGTCAAACTACCGGTGGGATTTCAACCAACATTTACAGGAGTGATCAGTACCATCCCTTGTTGTGCACACTACTGGCACGTTCCCCTTAGCTGCACAAAATGGTCACCAGAGCTAAAAATAAAAAAATCTTGTCCGGCCTTTACAAGTCAAATTACTTGTTGGATTTCAACCAAACTTTACAGGAGTGATCACTACCATTCCTAGTTGTGCACAATACTGGCAAGTTCCGCTTCGCTGCACAAAATGGCCGCCAGAGCTTAAAATAGAAAAATCTTATCCGGCTATCATAGGTCAAACTAAGGAAGGGATTTCAACTAAACTTTACAGGAGTGATCAGTAACATCCCTAGTTGTGCACAATACCGGCACATTCCACTTTGCTGGACAAAATTGCCGCTGGAACTAAAAATAGAAAAATCTTGTCCGGCCTTCACAGGCCAAACTACTGGTAAGATTTTTAAATTTTACAGGAATTATCAGTACCGAGCCTTTGTGCATATGGCCGGCACGTTTCGCCAGAGCTATAAATAGAATAATCTTGTCTGGCTTTCACAGGTCAAGCTACTGGTGGGATTTCAATTCAATTTTTAGACGTATATTGATTTTAATTTTTGGCGGTTGGATTTTGGAAATGATATGATAGCAGATATTATTTGTCTATGGGTTTTGGAAAGATTATCTCATCCATTATAAATACATGTAAAGTAACGATGATCCTTTCTTATTTTAGACATTTGTCTAGGTCATTCTAGTTGCTATTACTTTTGTTCTAGTCAAATTTTCTATATATTTTTTCTGGAAAGTGTGATACACACAGTAAGTTTGTGATTATAAGTCCAGGTCTTATAATGCATTTTATCAATATTTTGACTTGTTGGTTGAGGTGCACTGGGTTGTTTTATTTTATTGACTTGGTTTAATTTTCTTCCACGTCATTAAAGATAACATGGTTCACATGAATGACATTCAATCTTTATTCTAAGGACTGTTTATACAAGTTAAATCTATGACAGTGCTCTTATATTTTAGTAAGCTTCATCACTTTACTATGTGTTAAGAAACCTACATATCATTTAACTCTAAGTCTGCTGAGAGTGATAATAGTAGTCTTTTTGTAAACAGCTTGGTACTAGACCAGATGCCTAGCATCGCAGTAACTTGTCAGCTTACAAATGTTTGACAAACACTTCTGTATTCTTTAATTTAAAGAAAATTGGATGAGCTTAAAACTTAAAGCAGTCAATATTTTAGCAGATGACAAGTTGCCCATTATGCTAAGGGTTGATATACATAATTATTTTCAGGTAAATTTTCTATGTACTGCAATAACACAAAACATTTGTTATCCCTTTGCAGGATAATTTATGCATTTCATTTTAAATAGGTACTTATTATATATCTTAAGGTAAAACCCATTTTTTCCTTTCTGTTTCCTTGCAGCGGTGTTTATAAATGATATAGTGAACAAAAGTTTTACTTGTACTACTTACTCTTTAATTATAATATCCAGGGCGCATCAGCTCAGGGTGTCAATCCAGTGTATGCCAAAGATATCGATGTGCTGGTTCCTAACACAGATTATCAGACAGGTCATGTGATCAGAAACAATGATACTGTGATTAAGACAACCTTCAAGAGTGAAGTCAGTTTTGACACGGCCTTCAGTGGTGTATCAACTAGGAAAGTCATTATGGAGGAGAGAAACGTGTACTGTGGTCCATACAATGTTCTGGTGCTGTGTGACAGGTAAGATGCACAAGTAAAGAAGTTGAAAAATACGTGTAGCTGGTTGTCAGTAAAATGGTTATTCTATTGCTATTGCTCTGTCACCAGTAAGCTGCATCTGTATTGTAGTCTGTACATTGTTTTCATGCTTTTTCACTAAATATAGCATTATTTTAATGAAGGAATGTAAATAAAGCATTACAGATTGAGTTGGGTTGGTTCAGTAGTTAATCAATCAGACATTCCATCAGTAATGAACTGTTTGTCTGTCTGCTGACAGTTGTTTCTAAAGTTCTGAGATACTGTACTAATATTAGCATTTTTGCCTGCATCTGAAATGAATAATCACTTGTTTTTACAAATAAATTTTTAGCATATTGAAAATTATTGATGTGGTATTTTCTATATTCTGTATGAATTTGAAACACCAGTCATTGTACTTTTTTATTAAATAAAGGATCAGAAAATAGAATGTTTTGGTGTGAAATTTTGAACTTATTGGATAAAGTTGATCTCCAACGTATTAAACTGAACTACCATAAGATATGTTGAGCAACCCTGAAACAAACATGCACAAAAAATCCCATGAAGTACAGGCAATATAAAACAGTTTATGTTTTGATTAATTTATTGATATTTTAATTTTAAAACATTTATATGAAAGATTTTAAAAAATGATTTACCATTATTTCAGTGAGGATCACCACAGGGTGTTTCATACTGATGGAGGAAAACTCATTGCAATTGGCTCAAAAGACAGAAAGGTAAATACCAAAACACTTATCTTGTATAGCTTTAAAACAATGGTGTAAATACAAGAGGTGTTCAAATATGAATGCAACTCATCCAGTATCTCACTTTAAACCACGTTTTGCGTGAGCTATGTATATGTATCGCATAGATGGTTGTGTAAGCTCTTAATTGATACAATAATGTGTAAATCAGTTCAGTCTAGCTTTAACAATAGCTCAATTAAGGCTATCTACTTGTGTATACCTTTTAAACAAAAAGGGAACAACCAAGTAGAAGGAAGTCCAAAGCATGCGGCCAAACCCCACCAGACCATCCCAGAAGTACGGCATGTGTTGAATTTTTTGCCGATCAACCTCCTGCCACTATTTCAAACTGACCGACCAAGGAGGTAAATCTGGCAAGCCCAGTTATTACGTCAGGGCTTCGGTCCGTTTCACAAAGCTGCCCGGTACCCTCACAGCGACCCGGCAGGAAGCCCAGGGACCATCCCAGTAGTTACCGGATACGATCATGTTTTTTAATAATTATTGTTGCGTCAGACGAACCTTACCCTGGAAAGGAACTACGGGTATTCAACAAGCCACCCAGAATTGCGCTCTCAGACTATCATCGCAGGCGGTCCCCGGGGTCACCCGCTTACGAAGTTTAAATTGACCGGTGCTTCCCGGTCGTTCCGGGTTGACACCGGAAGAGCCCCGGTTGACCCAGACAGAGCCCCGGTCGATCCAGGCAGAGCCCCAGCAGAGCCCAGGACGATCCAGGCAGAGCCCCGGTAGAACCCCAGTGGATTGAAAACGCCCGAAAATGATAACATTGATACATATTTTTTTATTTAATATAATATCTATTGTTCCAGAATAGTAATTCATGATGATTTTCTGAAAAATCATTATGCCAGACTGGATAGAAGGGAAATGGGAAGGGTTTTAATACAAACAAGTGCACATCATCGCAAAATTGTCGTTATTATTTTTTAATGAATCGGGCTTATTAGCTCTACCTTTATCCTCTGGGGCTCTGCCCTTAGTTCCCGGGGCTCTGGCCGGCATCTACCGGGGCTCTACCGTAGCTCAACCTGCTACATCATACCCCAGATCATCCCCGGTTTGTGCAGGCAGAGCTACGGTGCTTCCCCGGTATAACCCCGGTCGTTCCCGGCAGAGCTAAGGATGAAGCCGGCAAAGCTATACCTTCCCAGATCATCCTGGACCACCCCGGTGATATTAAATATTTTATTCCATCTGGGGTAGAATGCCGGATGTTCCCGGATCATCCCTGATGTTGCCGGCAGAGTTACCGATGTACTCCGGTTGTTCCCGGTCGTACCCCGGTTGTTCCAGGATCACCCCGGACGTCTACCGGGGCTCTGCCAGGATATAAGTGAGACTGTAGCTGAAAATTAAAGAAAGCAGTCATTGTACGAGAATATCTGAAACAGGAAAAGGTTGTTGAGCTTCCTCACCCACCTTATTCGCCAGACCTTGCCCCTTGTGACTTTTTCCTATTTCTGAGGCTCAAAAAACACCTTGCTGGAAGAAAATATCAAATGCAAAAAAGTCAACTATTTATTCCAGTGTCTGAACAGTAACCTTGAAAAGATTATGAAAACGCATTTAAAAATTGGATTAAAAGACTAAAACTTTGTATATTACATGGTGGTGTGTATTCTGTAGGAATGAGATAATTATTTTGGCAGTGTTTGTTAAGCACTTCTGAAAATTGACCAAGTTGCATTCACATTTGAACACCCCTCATGGAGAAGGAGAAAAAAGTTAACTACGAACCAGATTAACTTTAACACATTTATTGTATCAAACCTAACAAGATTGTTATCAATGCACATGATTAGTATTAGATGCATAATTTTGACTTTCTAGGGGGTATATATGTAAGAAAATCAATACATGATAAGGTAGATATAAAGTCAATAACTTACCACTATGTGATAGAGTAATGTTTGTTTATTTTGTTTATTGTAAACATAGCAGAATTATGTTTTGTAAAATTTCTGTTTAAGAAATCGTTTAATGCATTATAATTTTTCAGTGCTATAAAAACAAAAGTTTTTATTCTGATTATTTGAGATATAAGTGAAATATAACTTATATCTACACATGTAAATACATTAAATACACATTAAATACATTGTAAGATTGTGAGTATATTTATCAATGAGCATTTTGAGGAACACTTACACTTAAAAAATTCTCTTATTTTAGAAGGTACAGATATATTTTTATGCTCCCTGAAGGGTGAGCATATAGTCACAGCTTTGTCCTTCCGTCCGTAAGCACTACCGAATAGGAATAGGGGTCCTTCTAACTGTTAACAGAACAAAAGAGAACAATAGAATTCATTCCGTAACAATAGAATAAGGGGCCATGGCCCTCTATTAAACAAAAGAAAATAACAATAGAAATGGCCCCTTATCCCTATACGATCTGATGTCCGTCCATCTGTCCGTCCGTCCGCCCACTATTGTTCAGGACATAACTTTGAAACAACAGGAGGTATCAAACATGAAACTTTGTAGGTAGATAGATCTCATTGAGTAAGGCCATCCTTAAAAAAATGTTTGTTTGCAGTAACCCGACCCAGAATTTTCAAGGTGGGTAGGTAGGTCGATTTTTTTTTTTTTTTATTGAACTGTACTCCCAAATAAACATGGAATTTCAAAATGCTGGACAATATATGCTTTGATAATCTGGTAACAATTAATAAATTGATAACTGAATTCTAATTTAATAAGACCTACATTTTATTTCTTCCATTAATCTTTAAAAGAACGAAAACAAAGCACAAGGCATAATTTTCTGATTCAAAAAAATTTTTTTTTTATCCTGACCATGAAAAAAAATTTTGAGTAGGGGCAAATTTTGTGAGTCGGTCGCGTTACTGCAAACAAACATTTTTTTAAGGATGGCCTAAAAGTGCAGTGCAAAAGAACCATAACTCTGTCTTGCCTAATTTTGGAGTTATTGCCCTTTGTTAATTTTTAGCTTGATTATATAGAGAGCTGTATTACTTGCCCCGACGCCGGCATCCAGATTTCAGATTTAAGTTTTGGTACAGTAAAATATTTTTCACTTTAACTTTTTCATTTCTTAAGGTATCAACTTCAAACTTCAAATATATGTTCCTTATCATCAACCACATCTTATGTGATAAGGTTTATAACTCTAGCACCAATATGTTCAGATTTATCTCCCCTTAATATTAAAGTTTTCCTTAAAAAATATTATTTTTTACTTTAACTTTTTCATTTTTTAAGGTATCAACTTCAAACTTTAATATATGTTCAATATCATCAACCTAATCTAATGCGACAAGATTCATAACTCTAGCACCAATATTTTAAGATTTATCCCCCTTGAACTTAGAATTTTCCTTAAAAATATTACTTTTCACTGTTACTTCTTTATTTCTTAAGCGATCAACTTCATACGTCAAATATAATTATGTTCTTTATCATCAACCACATCTTATGTGACAAGGTTCATAACTTTAACATCAATATTGCAGTGCACAAGAATCATAACTCTGTCTATAGTAATTATTGAGTTACTGTCCTTTGTTACTTTTCCATTGCTTTTTTCTTGTCCAGAGAATAACTTGAAAAGTACTATTTGGAATTCAATACAATTTTATACAATGGTGAAGTATATTGAGAGGAAGTGCAGTACACAGAAACCATAACTCTTTCTTGACTCATTTAAGAGTTTTTGCCCTTTGTTACTTTTTAATGTCCAGTGCATAACTTGAAAATTAATGTTTGGATTTCAATGAAACTTCATACAATGGTCAAGGGCAGTGAGATGAAGTGCAGTGCAGAAGAAGCATAACTCTATTTTGACTAATTACAGTTATTACTTTTTTGTCCAGTGCATAACTTGAAAACTAGTAGTTGGAATTCAATACAACTTCATATAATGGTCAAGCGAAATGAGAGGAAGTGCAGTGTACAATAACCATAACTCCATCTTCAGTATGCCCTTTGTTCCTTTTCCTTGTCTGGTGCATAACTTAAAACTAATGTTTAGAATTCAATGCAACTTCATACAATGGTCAAGCGCAATGAGAGGAAGTGCAGTGCTCAAGAAGCGTAACTCTTTCTGGATTTATTACAGAGTAATTCAATAAAACTTCATCAATGGTCAACCATATTGTAAGGAAATGCAACATACAAAAACCACAACTATCTTTAATTGTCCACAACTATTACTCTATTTCAATTCTTTTACAAGGTATTCTGTTACTTGTAACTTACTCATTTCCGAAGCAGTCTTGCGGGGGTATTAATCACATTTAGTGATAGTTCTAGTTTTTTTACTTGAAAAATGTTATTTTCTTTTGTGTAACTTCTTTAGTTTTAAAGGTCACAATCTACCTCAAATTTCAAATACATATTCTTATCATCAACCAGATCTAATATACAAGGTTCATAAATCTTGAAGCAAAATTTTCAGATTTATCTCCCTTTGAACTTAAAATTTTCTTTAAAAAATATTATAACTTCTTTACTTTTTAAGGTATCTTCTTCAAACTTCAAATGTATATTTCTTAGGCCATTATTTTTTGATATTTCGGTTTACTGACTTGCCGCATCCTTTTTAGCTCACCTGAGCATGCGCAGGGTGAGCTTTTAGGATCGATGATTGTCCGTCGGCCGTCGGCCGTCGTCCGTTCACATTTTGTTGTTAACACTCTAGCGGTCGCATTTTTGCCTCAATCATCATCAAACTTGGTCAGGATGCTTATCTAGTTGATAGCTCAGATGAGTTTGAACATGGGTCATCTCGGATGAAAAAGTAGTTCACCGGAGCTAAAAATAGAAAAACCTTGTTAACACTCTAGCGGTTACATTTTTGACACAAGTGTCATCAAAATTGATCAGGATGCTTGTCTAGGTACTTGCTCGGATTAGTTCGAACATGGGTCATCTCAGATGAAAAACTAGGTCACAAGAGCTAAAAATAGAAAAACCTTGTTAACACTCTAGTGGTCACAATTT